TACTTTGTATAAAATTCGTGCAATTGATTCTAATCATTAACAATTTTTACGACAAATATGCACATCAGTAGTATGTCTCATATTTTTAGGGATAAAATTGTATATTTGATCAATTTAGTGATTCAACTTCAACAAACTCAATGAACATTTTTCGTCAGAAACTCTAACGGCGTTATCAATGGACCAAATTGAAACAAATCTAAAATTAAGAATTAAAATTGAGTCAACTAAAATTGTAAAGATTAAAATGACATGAGTGACAAAATATAAACACCCCGTTTGGTGTAACTGTTAAAACAGCTTATAGATTATAACTTAACAGATTACAGATTATGACTTTAATCAGAAGTTATTAATCTGTTTGGTGTAGTTGTTGAATTATATATTTAAGTTGTTAAGTAGTGTTTGTTAAATAAGCTGCGAAATAGCTTTTTTAATTAATTTTTATTTTTTATTATTTACTACTTGTCTACATTTCTCATTAAAAAAAATAATAATAATCTATAGTCCATTTGGGTCTTTTTCTATTTCTAAAAAAATAAAAAAGACTAAGAGTATAACCATAAATTAATATGTCCACAGCAGAAGCTGATAATCAGAAGTAAGGGGTGAGTAGCTTCTCAGAATCAGCTTTTTGGAGTTCAAATAAGCTGTTAGAATCAGAAGTTGTTTGAAATAAGTTTAACCAAACCGCCCAAAATAACTTTTTTAAAGCTAAAAGCTATAAGTTAGCTTTGAAAAGCTGAGACAAACACTCCCAAAGATAGCCACTAGTGTAATTTACCCAATGTTTAATACAGTAGAGTTAATTACCTAAAAATATTATTTATAAATGTTATGGTAGCTTAGGTCTTATCTAAAATATTTTAAACCAATATTTACTAAAATTGATAATAATATCATTTTTTTTTTCAATTTTTAAAATTAAGAATATTATCAATTTTGCATAGTAATATTTCAAATAATTGTTTCACTAACTGATAAAAAAACAGAGCATGAGTGATTAAACGTTTTTATCCTTCTACTTATTGGTTTGATTTAACTATAGAATAAAACTAAGAACAATATCGATTTTTTCTTTCTTTCTTTGTTTGAGTTTTGCATATCAATGTTCCGTCACCATGCTTCTTTATAAACACAAAACTTTTTGTTTTGCACAAAAAAAATAATTCAGTTTTTTTAAATATATATATATATATATATATATATATATATATATATACTTTGCTTGGTTAGAGTTTTTTAAAAATACTTTTCAAAAATTCTACTTTCTTGTGTTTTCATATTTTTTTTTTGTTTTTACAGAATTTTTTTAATATTTTAAGCAATTTTTTTAATTTTTAAACACACCTAATATAAATACACTTAAAAAATATATTTTTTATGAAAAAAATCTTTAAAAAATTCACTAAATACCAAAAATACCAAAAAAATATTAAAATTCAATACATTTTTCATATTTTTGTGTATTTATTAATTTTTTAAAATATTTTTTCACAAATATTTTATTTTTTAGATACATTTAAATAAGATGTATCCAAAAAAGTAAAAAAAAAATGCTTAAAATTTAAAAAATGTTCACTTATAAAAAAAAAAACATGAAAAATAAAAAAAACAATTTTTTAAAAATTTAATTCAAAAAACTCTAACCAAACACACTGAGCTTCCATTTGGGAAGTGAGTTGGCTTTTTGGCTTTTTTGGCTATTTTAGATTGGGGCTAAAAAGCCTGGTTTGTGAAGGGTTTTTGACTTTTTTGACTTTTTGGTGAGGTGTCTTCCTATGAATTTACCAAAGTGCCCTTGATAAGATTTGTACCTATAATTGAAATGTATTTGACGTCCACGTCAGCTTCCCAACGGTCCGAACTTCTTGTTGTTTTTTTTTTTTTAATTTTAAATTTTTTTCTTATTTTCGGTTTGGATTTGGCGTTTTTTGCTAACCCTTTTTTTTTGTTTTGGGGTTTTGATTTGGCCTATTTTGTTTAAATTTTTTTTTATATTTTTATTTTGGGTTTTATTTTATTTTGGTAAAATATTTATTTATTTTTTTGTATTTTGGGTTTGGATTTGGCGTATTTTATTTAAATTTTATTATTTTTTATTTTGGCTTATTTTGGTAAAATAAATTTTTTTTTTTTTTGGTTTGGATTTGGCGTATTTTGTTTCAATTTTATTATTTTTTATTTTTTTATTTTGGGTTTTATTTTGGCTTATTTTGGTAAAATATATATTTTTTTTTATTTTGGGTTTGGATTTGGCGTATTTTGCTGAAATTTTTTTATTTTTTTATTTTGGGTTTTATTTTGGCATATTTTGGTAAATTATTTATTTATTTTTTTTATTTTGGGTTTGGATTTGGCGTATTTTGCTTAACTTTTTTTTTTTTTTTAATTTATGTTTTTGTTTATTTTATTTTTTTGTACTTTAATTAGTTCTTGTTCTTTAATTTACGTTTTTTGCCTTATCTATTTTTATTGGTATACAATAACATTTTTTTTTATGTGTTTCATTTATTTGTAAATTACGTGGGGAATGGTAATTTATGTTTCCTTTTTTATTTATTTTGTTTCCATGAGGCGTATTTTCTCGTTATTTTTTTTTAATTTACGATTTTCTCATTTTTTTATTCACTCACTTTAACTTGTTTTTATTTTTCAAAAATGGATTTTCATGTGTTTTATTTATTTGTAAATTACGTGGCAAATGCTAATTTTTGTTTTTTTTTTTTATATTCCTTTTACTTTTGGATGAGACCTATTTTTGTTTTCTTTTTCGAACTGGCTTTTCTCTATGGTTTTTGGTTTTTTAGAGTTAGGTACGTCACCAACTGGAAGTGGGTATATTCTCGTGTAAACGCATACATATTGTACATGATAATATTTTTGAATACAGTCTGTTCCACATGTGTTACCAATGTTCCAACTCTGCGAAAATTATGTCGACTATTATATATTTCCTAACATTCCGTTATTACGCATGTAACATAATTTGTCGCGTATGCGAAGGCGCACTAATGCCATATGTGGGTCTTCATCCCCAACCATTAAACCATCATCGTCATGTTCAACTTCTGGTATGGCATTTACTATTGCCATTGCCTCTTCCTCATCATAGATTGGGTGAACAGTTGTTGGATTACCTGTGTTTCGCCGTATATAATTATGTAATGCCATTGACGCACCTACTAACTGAACTTACACATTTGCAAAGTCATAGCGGAGCATGTCTCGAATAAACCCCCATCGATTTTTTCAGGCACCGAAAGTGTGTTCCACCACACTGCGTAATGACGAGTGAACTTTGTTAAATAATTTCCTTGGCATGTTTGCCATTGTGTTCCGTGCAATACGTCGGAATTCTTGTTGGTGGTAACGGTGGCCTTTGAATGGTGCTAAGTAACCTATTCGGTTTGGATAGCCAGAATCGACAATATAATATTTGCCTGCAGACATGACAACAATGTATGACACGAAAACCAAACATTGTGCTTCATTTTCAAGTAATGCTATTTTCGAAAAAATTAATAAATAGCCCCATAAATCTAATTCATGGCCATGTGTTACCTTCGTCAGGATGTCGGAATGGCACATTGTCATTCATTAGTATCTCATTGAATATGTGACTATCATGCATACTTCCTTCCCATTCGCACGAAGTGAATATGAAATACATGTCAAAATCCACTGCGGCCATGATATTTTGCGTGTGACAGTATTTCCTACCGAAATATGTTGCCACATCTGGCCCCGTAACCCATGCACTTACATGTGTTCCGTCTATTGCGCCAATGCAGTCCTGCAAACAACCCACTTCTTTTGTTGCATAGTACAGGTAACAAGTGTTTGGTTTTTTCCATACGTCACCTCCAGTTAATAATAAAAACAAAATAACTGACACTCTTTATTTATATGTCAATAATGGTTTTTAGTAGTACCTTGAACAGTAGGTATTTCCGTCTAGACCGCACGTATGAATGTATACAATGCTGACTGTATGTGGGACGGCAATGAACTACAGTGAATGCTTTCATGGAAGTTAATACGTTATGCATGTGCCGAAACACAGTCTCCCCCGAATATTGGAACCTTTCTTGAATTTCCCGATTTTGCTTCCCTTTCAACACATTGATAAACATTGCAACGCTTTCTTCAACAGCTAAGCCATGTGGACGTTGCGGGACTTGTAACCCAAAATCATTTACTAATGTCTCACACAAGGCGACAAAAACTTCCTTCGGCATGCAAACATTTTTCTCAAATCGCCTCATATGGCCCGCATATAGTTCGGATATCCATGCATTCCCGGTCAGTATAGAATTGCGACATGGCGTTTTGGCCATGTGTTTTGCGTACCATTCTGTCGCATACTGGCATGCTTGTAGAAATGTGCAGTTGTGTTCTTGTTGCACCTGGACAGTCATTTGATTAAGCATTTCCCTTATTCCGTCATTGTTGTTTCCATCCCACGGATTCATTACGTCTTCGTTGATGCGAAACCTACAAGAGTGGCACTCTGTCAATTAGTTTGCTTCCCTTTCATTGACTCAAATTATTTGAAAAATTGCAATAATCAAATATATTAAAATTGGTTTTCATGTAAGCAATGTTGTCACCACTGTCAGTAGTAACGCGTAATGATATGAGTTTCACAAATTAGTAACCTGTTCAACTTGAATTTACCGGGGGGCGATAGTGGTAACAACCACAAAGTGGACGTCAAAGTAAACTAACAGTTAAATTTCCATAATATAGACATACAAAAGCATCCCATTCATTTCTCCAAAAACATGCACAACCATGCTTCCATGAACGACAACCCATGCACTGAACTAAAAGTTTTGTCCACCGTAGGTAGCAATAAAAACCACAAAAAAAAAAAAAGAACAAAAACATGCACACACAACCATCTTGTTTTAATACAGTGCCAACATTAAGATAAGTAAAAGTTTTCATAATGCAACAGAAGGACAGGCATCTTCAACACTCTTAACACCGCTACATCACATCTGGTGAGCCCCAAACAGGTTTGTAAAAGGCGCTGACACAGTACACTGGAGCTGCTTTTGTGTATGCCACCCTACGATGGAGTCGTCATCAGGCTGGCACATCATCACCCCCCGCAAATCAGCATTATCCATAAGTGTCGAGGCGAAGTGGAATAACGGCGTACCAACCAGGGATGGAATACTCGTTAGGCGATGCATGCACTCCGAAATAGTATACAACGATTCGTTGCCTGTGAGGTGCCTCACCGTAACCTGCTGATTCTTCGTGCGCACCACATCTGTCAGATTGTTCATGCTTTCCGTAATAACTGATGCTCCACTTGTTGCCTTCTTGGACTTTGAAACACTACTTGATGGCGCCTTTCTCCTTTTCCCTTTTTCAATCGGAACATGCTCCAGTGAAGAATCTAAATCCACGTCCTGTACTCCTGCGGGTATCGAATCAACAAATGGTTGGGCTCCAAAACTGTGCACTGAATCAGATGAGTCGTCAGCAGCTTCAACAAGTTTCTCTCCCGGGGTCCAATGGTGCTTACCAGTAGCTGATGCCCCCATGAAGGCTGTTTCCATCAACTCACGATGTTCCAAGTTTTTTTTCCTGAACTTGGCACACATCTTGTTTATCTGTAGAAATACAGATATATGAAAGAGAATTACATTACATTTCATATAAATAATTAAAATTGAACTACAAACTATCAAACATGTACTGGTAAATGACAAATATGAAACTTGTTTGTACATGTACTTACCGATTCAATCTTGTTCCACCACTCCTCAGGTGCCTGAAACATACTGTGTCACTGTCAAAGCCTATCACTGACACTCCTTTGCTTGAATCCATCAACTTTGTCCACGCTTGCCACTCTTTTTTCAAGCTCATGTACTTATTCTTCAACTGTTTCTGTCCATGTTTTCTTCCTTTTTTTTTCTCAAATTTCCTTGCCAAGGACTTGTACCCTGCATGGCTAAGGACTAGGAATGGGCGATTTCCTTTAGTAATCTCATTTGCAATCAACTGTAGGAAAACTCGAATTGGGTCACTGTCCCATGAGGCCTTGTGGTTGAACTGATTATGTGTCTCTTCAAGACTACTTGACTTGTCAGTGATAATGCCTTTGCTTCTCGATTGGGTACGCGAAGAAGTACGTGTCGAAGCCATTACTAATGTATGGTTACAAAAGATTACCATCACAAATTCGGTTGTTATATACACACGCATACGCCATGACACATTAATAACAACAAATAGAGATATAGGATGCTAAATTAAATTTGCATACAACCATTGCACATTAATAACGTACGTACACAGGTTCCATGGAAGTTAGTAGTGGACAAAAATATGGTAGGTATTAATACGGCTCCCATATGCGACAGTACTACCAACATACTAACTACATACTAACAACATACTGACAACATACTAATGTGTTTCTACATACTGAGAACATGGTAACGGTGCTTACATACGGCACAACAAAATGACAACGACAATGCAGAGCACATACACAATGGTCTTAAGGACACGTAAGGATTGTTGAATGTCTATGACATCAGCCCGCAATTGCATGGCAATTTCATCTCCGGGTGACGCATAGTCTTGGTTCTCTCGCCTTCGTTCTTCGCACCAACCAATCCAACTGACACAGGGCTGATGAGTGCAAATTATGGAACTATTCGTTTCATGGATTGTTAATGTTCATACAGTTATGACCGGTAAAGAATGGGTCACTCACCATAGGGCGGGGACAGACAAAGTAGGGATGCCCTAGATTTTTAGTGGACTTGGAAATCTTAACAATACAGAGGCCATGTCCACAGGCACACATTCGTCGTGGCCATGTACTGGAAGTTGCAGTAGAGGTGAACGACGTCATGCTACGCTTTAAATTTCAATTAAATTTACATGAATCAACATGAAAACGTACAAAGACTGACGCAATTTTATATTTGATTCCATGAACGAACTTGATTGTTTGTAAAAGTATTGTGCATCTTGAATTTAGGTATATTGGTAATATATTTTTGAATATATTGTTAATATATTTTGTAATAATTTATTTTTTTAATATATGTTTAATAAAAATTTTACTGACATATAATTTGTTAAATCTAAATTTACGCCCTGGATTTTTTGTGGACCTGGAAATCTTAACAATACAGGGGCCATGTCCACAGGCACACATTTGTCGTGGCCATGTACTGGAAGTTGCAGTAGAGGTGAACGACGCCATGGTACGCTTTAAATTGCAAATAAATTTACATGAACCAACATGAACACATACAAAGACTAACGCAAGTTTATATTTTATTCCATGAACTCACTATGTTGTTTGTAAAAGTATTGTGCATCATGAATTTAGGTATATTGGTAATATATTTTGAAATTTATTTTTTATTAGATTTGTGAATATATTGTTAATATATTTTCTAATAATTTATTAAATTAATATATGTTTACTAAAAATTTTACAGACATATATTGTTGAACATATTTTTTACGAAATTTTGTTTAAGATAACTGTACAATATTTTTTATGTAATTAATATATTGTTCACAAATGAGAATTGAGCAATTCGTATTGAGTAAAAAATGTATTGAAATTAATAAATCTATTTTGTAATATATTTTAAATATATTTTATATGATTGTTTAAAAAAATTTCTGAATATAGTACTATTTTGTAATATATTTTAAATATATTTTATATGATATTTTAAAAATACTTTTGAATATATTTGTACTATATTTTTTAATAATTAAATTTTGTCATATATGTTTAATAAAATTTTTACACTCTTTACTTTTTAAATCTAAATTTGTAATATATATTTTAAAATATTTTTAATATCTTTCTAATATATTTGTTAATAAACCCAATTTTCTAATATATTTGTACTATAAGTTTTATATATTTTGTAATTTGTTGTTAATATATATAGATAATATATCTACCTTCCTTCCCAAATTCAGTTTGAAATATATTTTTTATGTAATTAATATATTTTTTACAAATGAGAATTGAGCATTTCTAAATTAGCAAAAATTCAGGCTTCAGCATTGACTATAAAAAATATATATAACAAAAATTTTCATGTTTTCCTTCATTTTGTAAATTAGCCACAGTTTGTGATCAAAAGATCTGAAGTTTTTCATTTGACCTAATTATAATAACAAAATGTGTGAACCCAAGCACAAAATCAAACGATCTGCAAAAAATCATATAAGAATCTGAACCAAATAGATTGTGATGTGAACAAAATGTGTGAACCCAACCACCAAATTTTCCATTTTTAATTGTGATCTGAGAAAAACAGATCACAACTGATAATTAGAAGAACAAAATCAAAAGAAGAACAGAGTCATTGAGGATCTGAACCTATATATACATAGTCCGGCCCTCATTACTCATAGATTTACAGATTTATATGTAAAAACAGATGTATGTGTGTATATATATATATATATATATTTTGGATAAATATATGTATATATATCTGTCACAACAATGTGTAAACATGAACAAATCAATCTTTCGAGCAGGGGACTCCACACATGAAAGGGACTCCACAGGTCTACAAAATCAGAGAGAAAGGGACTCCACACATGAACTGTAAGCATACGCCACACACACTCACACAGATCTACGAAATCAGACTGGTTTGAAAGAGATACCTCAAGATCGGTGGTGTTTGAGAGGGTTCGCGAGTCGTCTTCGCCGCCGCAGATGGCTACTCTGGCCCGATCGCCTGTAAGAAGCTGGAACCAGATGTCGTCGCCGCCGCTGGTTCAAGCAAATCGCCTCCTTCTTTTCGAAATGCCCTAGGACGGTTATGTTCTGTGTTTACTTTTGGCGTTGGGCAAAATGAATGAGAGGAATAGCCAGGGTATATCCGTAAATCTGCCCGAAGAAGGGTTATGTCCAACCCGTGTAAGGAGGCTTTGTCGTGATGTGGCTAAATTAGCCACTTTTGTCGTGATGTGGCTAATTTAGCCTCAATCTGCCTTCCCAATCACCACCGATTTATTTATTTACTTTTTTTGTACATGATTTTTTTTTTTTTTTAGTTTTTTCAATTTAAAAGTTGATATTTTAAAATTTTAATCAAAATAAATGTCAAATCATCATATTCTTTTATAATCATAAATGAAAAATAATTATTAATTGAATAATAATTTTAACTATTAAAAATTTAATAAAATTTTAAAGTCTAAAGTCCTATAATTAAGAGTTAATGAAATATATGTTAATAAATTAAGATTTGGGTGTAAACGTTCCTATATAGATGGAGAGGCTGTTTATAAGACTCAACCCATCCACACCATTACTGAACAGGTTGTTTTGGTGAGTCTCATGAAACAAAGAATCTGTGATGATGATCAAGCAAGCGCATGTAGTGGTTGTGCCATACCCGGCACAAGGGCATGTCGTACCTCTCTTGAAGTTATCACACAAAATTGCTGATTATGGGATATATATCTGTGACCTCAATCTATATGTATATATATATATATTATAAATTATTTAGGATTATAAATATATATCTTAAAATTTATTTAAAATACGAATTGTTCTTTGTAGTTCTAGAAATTACATTCCACCTCCTGAAGTTTAATGATGTCAGAAATATATTTTAATTAATAATTCAAATAATTTTATTATTGAATATGAGAACAGTTAGAAATTTTATTTTTCAAATTAATTTTGTTAAATAATTTTTTTTACAAGGAGTATTCCTAATTTTTCAAATCATAAAGAGCAATTCGTATTTTAAATATATCTCAAGAGTATATTTGTAATTTTTTTTTCTTTATTTTTATTCGTATAGTATTCCTCTTTCGATCAATCAAAAGGGAAGAAGGCATCACCTTTACCCGACCTGAAAAAATTGCTCCTATTCCAGGCTGCATGGCCCATAACAGGTCTTGGTCGAAAAAGAGAGCATGTCTGCCCAGTCCGGCCCGGCCCAGTCCATTTTAGAGTTGTAGACACCACACAACATGATTTTTGGAGAAATTCAGAAAGGGTACATCTAAACTAAAGACCATAAGACGAGGAATTATCTGACATTCAGAAATTTTATATTGATGGTGTATTCAACCAATAGCAGGGAGTGAAGAATTATATGATACTAAAAATAAGAAAATAGTAGGAAAATGACATAATCTCATTGGATGGATACATGGCCATGCGATCTTCTTAACACGTAGAATAATTTCTACCATTTGACAAAAGAAAAAAAGAGAAATTTAAATTCAGTGTAAATTCTAAAAAAAATCACAGATAAATGTAAACTTTATAAGTATTAATAATTAAGAGTACAATCTTTTCTATGAATCTGTAATAATTTTCTAAAAGGTAACATTAAGTAATAGTTTTCCCAAGAAAAATTTTTGTCACAAGAATGATTTACATTCACCCACTCATAGTTCATCAACAAAACAAATGTGATGAATATTAAACGACTTGACATATGAAAATAAATAAATATATAAAAACTCCACATCTAAAATGACCCTTCAAAATTTGTATTCTCCTTCAATAAGAAACATTTCAGTGTGACCTCCAATTATACAGACCGTAGTTTGTTTGTAGCTTTATCAAGTGAATGATAGAATTTGATTAATTATTCAACTGCAAGAAGAAGGTTTACATGATTATGCAGACAAATTTTCTTATAGTCCAATCTTTGTCTTCTTTAGGAATCTTTCAGAACAAAACATAGAGAAACAATTGCTAAGTTAGGTAGATTGCTAGTGCGAAATCTGTGCAGAATTCCCAAGATTCATATTCCCTTTAATTCTCAAACACATGTTCTGTTGTGGACTCTGCATAGGAGCCATTGTTGTGTGACTGTTTGGACCCACTTTAGGTCCTATTTGAATAATTTAAATTATTCACTTTTTAAAATATATCGAATGCAACATAGTTGCAAAAAATCAAATTGATCGGAAATTGGTAATTATTTCATTAAATTACATTTAAATTAAAAAAAAATGAATGATAAGTATGATTTTAAAAATAAATTTCTTTTACCCATTCATATCACAAAGCACCCTTCTTTAAATTTGTTGTGAGAGGGTAATTTGTAAAGAAAATTGGGCCGAGCTACGATCCATTAATCTCTGTTTTGGGCTGGACTAGGGGCCGGGATAGG